AATACAGCAAGTAATAACAATTTCAATGACAATATTAAGTAAATCTTTGTCTGACACAGGTTATTTTACAAACAAAAACTAAAATAAATCATATTAACAATTCTAGAAATATATTTGGAATATAAAAGTCATTTTGTATGAGTAATAAAACTTTTAATAACTTGACCTTGTAATGTTTTAATAAATAAAGAGAAATATACTTAAATTAAACAAAAAACAAAACCCGTATTGAATCACTCAATGCAGAATCTAGATACTCATATAGAAATTTTCATAATAAAATAATATTCAGCATTAATGAGAAAATCTGTCAAAAAATATATATGTTAGAAATAATAGTCTTTTTATTCTATAGTTTATAAAAATTAGTAGTATAAGATGCTAGTCTTACATAGGCTTCGTTCAATGAGTCTATAAACAGAAAAAGTTAAATCTTAAGCCTGCAACTGATCTCCATAACTGGCTAATGATACTGATCCGATAAATAGAATTCCCCAATGTTTTTCGACCTAATTTTTAAGAAGATCAGATTGGTAATTTTGTTTACCTATGAAAATAAGCAATACATTAAGGCATTGTCACGATGGAGAGAGTGCAACATATCCTGAAATAAGGATCTGTTTGAAGGTTTATAGTAAATTAAAGGTAAGAGGAGGAGTTCTTCAACTTTATCTAATTATATACTTCTTTTGTATTCCAATGAAAATGTGTCCTCTTTGTACTCTATGTGCATGATTTATTCAAAGACAAGTTTTGAAACTTGATGTACACCACAAGTATATACGTTATGGATGTCTGGGAATGAGGAACACAAATGCAAAATGTCAAAATCCGATCACAATATCAGCCAATCTTGGGCACATCATCACTGATCCGATATTTCACTTAAACTGCAGGCTTACTAAATCTGTACAATTTTTTTATTCAGATGTTTAAGGATGACCTCGATTAGTCAATTGGACCTCTGTTAATCACTTAACTCCTATGTATTTAAAGTTGTATACCAGCAGCAATGTATTTTAATATCATTATTTGACAAATAAGTCAGTTTTGATAATATAGATTATTACTGGAGAACAAAACTGTTTTAAGTAACAAAATAACACCTTGATATCTGTAAATCATCAGTATATAACAAAATGTATTACTATGTGCATTATTGCATAAAACAATTCAAAATAAACTTTTTAACATAATTTAAATTATGAAATTTTGCATCCAGGAAACCTTTGAATCTTCATCACTATTTTCTTGCTTTACATCTGGCTGGCCTGCTTGTTTGACACCACCACTTATGAAACTGATTGGAGCAGTCATATCATGTTTTCCTTTAGACCTAAAGCTGGGTCGTTCATTGTCATCGCTATCCTCATCAGCCCAAATTCCTTTAAAGATAGAACAATAAAAACATGTTATGAGGCAGACTCAATAGCAGAAATCTTAATTTAAGCAAAAACAGAATTACCACAGACATGATAAAAAGCATGTTTATATACAGTTGAAGAACATATTTCATATCCTTTGTTTGTTTGCATTTAAGCACAAAGCCATACATATCTATGCTTTGTCCACCACAGGTATCAAAACTTGATTTTAAGCATACAAGCCCTCAGGCTTACTACTGAGCTACTGTAGGGCCATTTAATATAGACATTATGAGATAACAGAATTGAAGAAAAAACAAAAACAGTTGTACATTTCACAAATTCTTCATTTACTCACGATCATGGTTTTGCCAATAAAGACATCATTAGGTGTCTGTGCCTGATATTGCCTTTACTGGCAAAACCTATGAGATTCGCATGACACTAGCCTTGAGCTAACTCCCACCTAAAATCACATGTTTAGCATGAACTGTGCTAGTACTTGATGATATTATCATGCAATGATAGCCCTCCACCAATAGGGGAGTGGCACAACCTCTTTGCTCAGTAACTCCTCTTAAACATTCACACTTGAAATATCATTCTTAGACAAGGAAAGAGGAAAGTGCACTGGAAGTGAGGAGGACAGGTGGAAGATATACAGAGGTATCTATCGGAAATACATTTTTACATAAGGAAAATGTTAACTTCCAAGATAATATCTCACCTCCACATATACAACAGCTAGAATTCTACACACTGAAATAATAGAAGGGTTGGTGCAAACATTAAACCTAGAAGAACTCCCTTCAGAAAGCACCCAAAAGGAAAGCTTGTCGAACGTGACACCCAATGGCAGGGGCTCTATAAGGGCACAGTCGTGAGAGACCATACCTTATCTTGACCAAGGTATACTCTTTACCCAGAAGGAAACAGAGGGAAAGTCAAAAGAGCCCCAAGTGTTGCAGGGGTGGGTGGAATGCGATCATGACTATCCAAGCCCCAACACTCAAATGGTTGGCAAGCCAAGAAGTATAGTGTGGTTAGGTCATGATCAGACCATACTGTGTATGTCGTACCTCAACTAAACTGAAAAGACTTTAGCTGCAAGATGAGGGCACACTAGCTGTCTGAGGAGTGGCCCACATTACAACAACATTGTTACCACTGCCCTACTTCTCACCAATGTTGTTCACAATCAGTCAGGAGTTCTTCAAGGTCTATGACCTCAGCAACTAGGAACTGATAAGTGGCAAGGGTCTCCAATGCTCCACTTGAAGAAAAGAAGGAGAATTCACAGTGGGGAGGCCTGGAAAAGTGCCTAGCTCCCCATTGGATGCTTGCCAGAAAGGTTATTTACTGGAGAAAGCATAATGGGTGACCACAAAACCCTATTTTTAAAGCCAATAAGCACAAGGCAAATAAGTGGGCAGACTCTTCCCTGGTTCTGGATTTTTCCATGATAGTCCATGGAATGGTATGGTCTGGCAGTTGAATACATATGTTATCATGAAGATAATTGGTGGTCATGCAGAACACACCATCTCAACAGTGGGCACTGGTAACACCAGTATGGATGAGTAAGTACTTTCTGTTACTCCTGGCCTGATGCAGATTTTAGGGAATAAGCATACCTTGGGAGGCAACACCAACCACCTGGCAAGACCCTAGAAAGGGGAAAGAGGTGCTGAAGAAGAAAATATACTTACCCTACTCAAAGATGTTATGTTATTTGTTTTAGAACAGCAACTGGAAGGAGTTGAAATCTCACAAGAGACAAAACAGCCTGGTGATGAAAATAATGGAAAGTAAATGTATGAAGATTCATCCAAATGCCAGCCTGAAGAATCTAGTCCAAGAATTGGTGAAAATGTACCACAACAGTAAGACAGTTGACAAACCCGATGCAAAGAAATGTGAAAGAATGATCACCTTCCCATGCAAATGAAGTCATAGGAAGAAAGGCCTGGTCTGAAGAGAGAAGGGAGGAAGTGCAGTGAAAGAAAATGCAGGGAGCTTCGATGGCAAATACATTTGAATGATGGCAACCACAGGCATCAGAGAAAGAAGTATAATGAACACGAAACCAATGGCTCAAATGGAGCATGTTTAAGAGTGTGTAAAACCATGTCAAACTCCCAGTCCAGCATGGGAGTAGATGAGGGGTTGGTGAAAAAGGAAGGATCAGAACAAAGTGCAGAGGACAAGAGAAAATAAACCTCCCACTAATGGGAAAGGTGAAATGTAGTTGACAAAGCTGCCCAAGAACCAACAATAGTGGAAACTGACAATCCATTGTCGAACAACCATGTGAAAAAGACCAAAAAGTGGGCTACAAGAGGATGGCCCAGATGAAGGGAGAGGCTGATGAATCAACATCAAAAAACCTGCCACTTCTACTGATAGACAAAGAGTTAAAGAATGACAGGAATGGGAGAAAAAAAAAAGGCTACATGATCAGAGAGTCCATCCCTGCAGGCAATGGACTAGAAAAATCCCACATATGAAGAAGGTACAACAGACCTGGGTAAAAGAGAAACATTATTGGAACAAGAGTGTGGGAATGGGTCAGAGGAAGAGGTGGCCAGAACACCAATCAACAAAGCAGAAGAAATCAGGGTTGTCCCAGCCAAAGAGATGACACCAACAGATCTGACAAGTAGTGACATGTATCAAAACAAAGACAAAACGGAGAAGAGAAACAGGAAGAGAGGCATACAGAAATAGCTGAGACCAGTACTGGCCAAGAGTACCAACTTCCAGGGCCAAAGGATGAAGAACTGGAGATCTGAAGAAGAGAAGTGGAGAGATAGACTGTGAGTGAGAACCTGAATAACCCATCTGTCAGAAAAATGGAGACAAAAGGCTGGCAAAGAGAGACAAACCCAGAGCAGTCACTGATGAGATGAGCAATGCCCCTGCCCTTGGGTGGGAGGACAAGAAGTAAAAGAAGGCTGGGAAGCTGGAATGGGAAGAGAAATAGGAACAGTTTGTTTTGTTATTGAATTTCGCGCAAAGCTACACGAGGGCTGTCTGCGCTAGCCGTCCCTAATTTAGCAGTGTAAGACTAGAGGGAAGGCAGATAGTCATCACCATCCACCGCCAACTCTTGGGCTACTCTTTTACCAACGAATAGTGGGATTGACCATCACATTATAACGCCACCACGGTTGAAAGGGTGTGATGGAGATTTGAATTCGGGACCCACAGATTGCGAGTCGAGCACCCTAACCACCTGGCCATGCTGGGCCTAAAATAGGAACAGAATGGTGAGATTGAAAAAGACAGAAAACTACAGTAAACAATGAGGACCGATGCCAGACCACCTCAGTGCGGATCTCCAGTAAGTCAAGAATATGCAAAAAATCTTCAGGGTCAAGAAATGGAGCCCAACAAAGATCATGGAGATAAGCATGACGGAGTATCCTGTCCCAACACCAAAGAAATTAAGGAAGGAGAGATACAGCAGAAAAAGAAGTATGGACCAATGTGGTGGAAAGAAAAACAAACCTCTCCAGAAAACCCCTCCTGAGCATGATTGAGAGTCTCAAACATAAGGTGAAGTGATGAAAGGTAATACAGGAGGGTATTTAAAAAGAGACAAAGATGCAAAATTGGGCACTCAAATGGGAAATAAATATTAAGGGGATCTACTCCCTAAACAGATAAAAGAAATTACAAGACTGGGAATCAAGGAAGAGAAGTGAAGAATGGAAGTAAACTAGGACAAAAAAAAGTCAAGTAGAAAAGGAAGACAAGGCATGTTAGTTACAGGTGTGTAGATCTTTGGGAAGAAAGTCTGCATGAGCATTAATATCAGATGAAGAAAGGAAGACAAAGCAGTCCCAAATATGAATTTCATGTAGTAATATATGGGAATAATCAAAAAACAAAGGGGAAAATAACATACTTGCAAAATCATGTAAAAGAAAAGATGGAAAGCATAGGATTTTTTCCACAGATAAAGTTGTGACCAGAGCAAACCCTGCCAGGGAAGATAGCCATTCAAAATCATTTTCATTCTGACCATGTTCAAACTGGGGAGAAGGAACATCAGCTGAAGAGATGGGAGGAAGCGTAATGAAGAAACACACAACACGTTAAAAACTCATAATGCGTAAGCAAGAAAAAAACATTTCTTTATAGTTTTAAATCAGCAAAACTTAAACAAAATTTAAGTTTTGTAAACTATTGCAAATCTCACATAATTAATTATTAATTTTAAAAACACATCCATTCTAGACAATGATGAGGCTGTACAGAAGTGGTGGAAAAGCATGATATTCTCACAGATAGAAGTCTTATACATCTGTACTCTATATTGAGAGGTTTTTTTGGTTTTGGTTTTTTGTAGAAAAGACAGCCATACTTTTTCTAAAACTTCAGAGTGGAGACTGAAGTAGAACATACAGTAGTAGTTTAAAAGTAAATATAACTGGAGATTTAGGCTTTGATGTCATGTACTTAAATATATTTTATTTACCATTTGCTTCATTAAGTTATCTTCAAGTATCAAGATTTTAATTTAAGTACAGTGTATATGTAGCTTCTGTAAGATTAGATTTTAGGGCTGTAGCTTCTATGAATGAATACCTTCACTGTTTTTAAAAATAACTTGTAATAATTTCTTTTAATTCAGCATCTCAGTAAACATGAATACCAAACTGATGGCACCAAGTTGCTGAGGAAAAGTAAATAATGGAGTAAATATTACTTCGCTTTAGGAAGATCTCAACAAGTCCAGTGAATGGTCAAGCACATGAACAATATGTTATAAAAACTAAAATGTGGCTCATCCATTGAAACTGTAGAAAACTAAAATAATGTGTATGATTACTGAGAAAAGCCTAAGCACATCAACTACAGTATTTGGCTGTGATTATGACTAAAACTAAGTTATGGAGTACATCTACAGAACTTAAAAACTTTTAAGGAGCTCAAATTTTATCACTCTGCATATGATTCTGGTTACACCTTATTCACAGTATTCAGTACACATTTTTTTATTTGGTTCCCTTCTT